TGAGAGTGACCACAGGAATGAGCCTGAAGGACTGGTGTCTTGCGGGTAGAGAGAAACAGAATAGCAGGTTGGTGGGTGCTATTGTTCATAATGCACCTGCTTTTAACTGCTTGCTCTTCCTGTTGGCCTGTCTGGCTTTTTTTCTGTTTGAGAAGCACTTTAGTTCACGGAAGGTAAGAGTTCATAGAGACCACAAAGTCAGCAGGAAAGGGAGGTCTCGATCTGAAATGCAGCCCTTGTGGTGACCTACCAGGTGGCAGAGGAAAGAACAGATTTTTCCTCTTGCCCCATGTCTGAGTTACAGAATTGCTTATGAATGTACTTGTATGTCACTTAGCAGTGAGACCAGGAGGTGCTCTCAAGGACACTTTCTGCCTCAGGCTTCTACCTTCTGGTATAACTAGATGATGTCTGTTACAAAGGAGCCCCAGACTTGAGCTAGTGCTACTGCTAGCTACTGTTTGAGCTAGTAGTACTCAAACTGTTTGAGTACCGTTTCAGGAGTTTGTTTTAGTCAATAAGATTAACAACAAATATTTTTGACCATGCAGATATTATGTGTGGCTAATGTGTTGCATAGGTGCCAGCCTGTGTTTTATAGATTCATTTCAGTCGTAAGAATATGTTTGAAAACATAGCTGCTGTGCTGTGAGATGAAGTGTTCTTCAGGGGTATATATAAGCCATTCATAGAATGCAGCTTTTATGAGGATGGGATCCTTGCCAGGCAGTGCAAGGATCAGAAGAGTCATAAAGGTACCAATACCCCCATATTGTTTTGGGATTCCTGTAATGCTCTGTGCCATCATGAGTTAACAAAGTTAGCTGAATGATCAACTACAAGAACTGGCAGATGAAGGGAAGATAGTTCTAAGCTTAAGCAGGAGCAGGTCCAAACTTTGTAAGCAGATAGTAAAATCCATAAGGACAGGAAGGGTATTTCTTGCTGGGTATTGCACGGTGCTTTGTGCAGTGCAGTTCTGGTGGAATTGCTGTCCCTGGGCACCACCAGAACACAGAAATAAATAGTGGATTGAAAAAACCAAACAGCCATGTGGAACTGTGGAGCCTGTGTGAATCTTAATTTTTCTAAAATGAATATAATCCAAACTGGGAATTAATCACAGCCCTTAATACCTCATTTGTCTGTAGATGTTTAAGAAGAAATCAAATTGGAATGAAATGATCAGACGCTGGTTCACTCTTCTGTTCTTTAGGACTACTTTTATGTCTTCATAAGCTGCTGCTTTGCCTTTTTAATTGAGGCTTTGTGTTCTCCAGTGCATTCTAATCCAAGAATCTCAAAGGACTGAGAAACAATAACTGCAAGGATGTTATATAGGTATATCCAGACTAGTCCTAGATTCGTGTTTCAAAGCCCTGTACAAAACCCTCCAGCTTCCTTGTAGGGTGGAAAAGTAAGTGGTGGTAGAAGCATTTGGTCTGTCTTCCATTTAGAAACAAGAGATGGTACCATGGCCTCAGTTCTGTTGTTGACTACCAATGACTTTAATTGCAACTTCAGTGAATACTAAAATTATGCATGAAAAAGCTCTGACACAAAGTCCTTTCAGAAATACAGATTAGGAGTGGATTGAGAAGGTGCAAAACTCTTCAGTTCTGCAGTACAAGGAGTAACTTGTTCATGAGGCTCAATAAACCCGGGGCAAAATTAATCTTATAGTGCAGGAGTCCTCACTGCCTGGCCTGGGAACTGCCAAATGCTTGTGGGTTTCCCTGTGAGTATCGTTTCTATATATCTTTCTGATTTGGAATTGAGCTCTTGCTGGCCTCATAAGAATGCATTTGTAGTGTCCAGTCAAATTAAAGTTTGTAGAACATATGACCAAAAAGAAAATGCTTCAGATTCTGCAGATCTGCGTTAATGCAGTCTCCCTTCATGGGTGTGTTTATAGCTGAAATTACATTTAATTTTCAATACATTCCATGTATATTTAGTATTCATAACATTCAATATATGTTGAATTACACAAGCAGTTTGTCAATCTCCTGTGTTTTATAAATAGTCTAGTGGGAAATGTCTTTAGTCTGTGTTACCTGTAACTTCTAATCCTTTGGACTGTGCAAGTCATTAAACGAACTCTGAAACTTGTTTCTAGAGCAAATGTGCTTTTTCTGTCATAAGCAGCACCTTTTTGTTCTGTAGGGTTCCAAGTTATCTTATGCATGGAAGTTCTTTGTACAGACTCTCTGGCTTTAATTTCAAATACTAGTAAGGAAACCCCAAGTCCCCAGTGCCCTGCTCACAGATGTGTTGTTGCATGGCATCCATTGCCTTACTCTGTTTCCAGTGGGTTTGGATTTTGTTTGGATGTTGCTCTACAGTAACTGTTAGATTATTTCCCATCCCTCAAATATTTTGTTTTTATTAATGCAGCTTTCAGCCTAAATCTGTGCTTTAATGCAGCTCTGCATACTAAAATAGAAATAAGACTGGAAGGGATGATGAGATTGGGTTTGCCCTGAGGTAGCTAGTCAAGAACATGTGTAAGCATTTCAGAAGTGAGTAATGCAAAATGGAACAATAAATGCCTTTTCAGGTCACTTCCCTGCCGCAACTTGTCCAGTCTGAGACCATCAGGACTTGCATCCTTTGGTTCTTTTTGTTTTCTTGGTTTAGAAAAGGAGATCACTGGTCAGACCAAACATTTATCTACCTCAATATCTTCTCTCTGACAGCAGTTAATAAAAGATATGAGAGATGTGTATAAATAAGTCTTACAATATCTTGATAGGGAATTTTGAGTCAATGGCTAAGCAAAAAAGATAGGAGCAAGTTAAGTGTTTATATTCCCTGAATATAGCTGCTCTGTTTTAGCTGCTGCTTTGCTGTACTTTCTGCATAAAGCCTAGCCTGAAGAACTAGCGCAATGGTATTCCTGCTTAAAAGCACAGGAAATCAAATGCCATGCCACTTCTGCGTGTTACAAACAAAACAACAAGTAATTTTTGGGTTTTAAGAATCAAAGTGCAGAGAGAAACCAGGGGGTTGGTGCCCTCAAACCTAATTGAATAACATGTTTGAGGCACGAAGTCTTGTATAGTGATGTATGTAATGAGGCTGCTTTGGTGTCATGCTAGAGGCTGCCTTGTCTTACAAGGGGAATCCCTGCTGCCTTTCTTGTGCCAGCACTTGGAGCCTCAGTGTGTTCTCTCTGAAGCCTTATTCCATCTATCTGTTTCCTCTGCCAGCCTTGCTACCACACATCAGTGCTGGAACTGAGGAAGCCAGTTTATCTAACCCTTCTGCTCCTGTCTGCCCCAGTCACCTGGCATGTGGTGGTTCTTACCTGGTGTGTTGTTTCCCTAATTCTGACTTAATTTCATCCCTTTGTGCTGCTCTTTCTGGAGCAGCACATGCGTGGGGAGCTCTCTCCCCTAGCTCCCAAGAGGACTCAAAACCTATGCTGAGCATGTTGTCCATGCCACACGTGCTCTGCTGTTGCAGTTCATTTACAGAAGCAGTTTACTATTGCCTATTGCACGAGGACAGGCAAGACTCCCATACGCTGCCTTCTGCTTGGTGCCCAGCCAGCTTCTCGCAGAATTTACTAATCCATACTTGCTAGTGACTATGATTTGAAAGGCTGGAGCAGGACGAGGAAGGCGTTTGTCCAAAAGACTCTAGAGGGAAAGGAAGTGAAGAAGAGGAAATAATATGGATACAATGGGGAGATACTGCATCAACTGTGGGTTTTCTATAAAACTTACTGGCTGCAACTCCTGATAGGAGTCAAGTGTAGAGAAAACTTAGAAGTTGAGCTGTGTGTACGTCCCAATAGTTTGTGGATAAGAATGCACATTCATTTTCTGATATTAGGGATCAGATTGCACATTATTTTCTCTCAGAACTAAAGCAGCACTAAGATTATTGATGTAGGTGACTGAATTTGTCTAATGGATTTGTTGTCTTGTCTTCTGTGAGGATTTAGTGTGTTCTCCTTGGAGGAGTATGGGAGCTACTTCAGTTAACATAGGAAATTGGATGATTTCTTTTTATAATGCTGCACCCCAGCTGCCACACAGGTTTTTCATGTGCCTTTGTCTTGAGTTTTTGCCTTAGTAGTTGTGACAGGGACAGCAGAGAGATCAGGATTTTGGCTAAAGCAGAAAGCTTCAGGAAAACATGGAGCACGACATGAGTGGAATCTTAATCCCTAGAGAGCTCATGCTTGTAAACTCAGGTGGTGCTTTTCTTCCAGTAAAGCAGGATTTGATACTGCAAGTTGGAGATCAATAACTAAAGTATTGTCTCAGTGTGCTTAAAGTGCTTGGCTTTGGAAAAAGCAAAAGCAAAGGAGAACTTGTGGGCTGTGGCTGCTAAGTCAGCATTTGGAGAAGGGATAGTGAAAGGTTTCCTTCCTTTGAAATGTCTCAAAGTACACAAAAATTCAGGATTCTTGTGAATATAGAAGGAAGCTGCTATTGCTTTTGCCTTGGCAATACTTATGCCTTGAGTAGTTAGCCAGGAGAAACCCTGGCTGGAGGCAAGCCTTTGGCTGCTTTTTCTTCTTTAAGATGTGTCATATGGTGCTTGTGTGCTGGAGCAGTGTGGTGTCTTCTGGAGCCCCAAAGTGCAGGGGATGTGGGATTTTGTTGTAGTTTGGGTAAGTATATCTTGTCAAAAGGAGGCACACTGGTTTTGGGGCTCTGTTTCAACTTCTTTTCTTTCTAATAACAGAGATTTATTTTTTTCCAAAGTAGAGAGAGCTGCATTAAATAAGCTTGTTGGTTAACTTGGAACTTCAGCCGAAGCAGCTAGAACTATCACAGGATTACAGGGAATGTGCTGTGGGTATAAGCTTATTCAGAACAAGCTCAAGTCTTCCTTGAGGAGGGGCACTTGGTTTTTAGTGCCTTAAACTTTTTTTGTGGCTGAGACTCCCTGTTAGAATCCGTGTATGCTTTTAGAGGCAGAAAAGCTGTGAAAAGGGAAGGAAACAATCATTCACTCATCTGAAACTTCCTCTTTCATTTCAGGGATTTTCTGCCACGTGGATCTGGCATCGTAACCAGGCGCCCGCTGGTTCTGCAGCTGGTGAATGCCAGCACAGGTAAGTGAGCACCTTCCCTGTGTATCCAGCTGGATTGCTGTCTGAGAAAGGACATATTTGATCAGTGGCACTGCTCAGTGTGTGTGTTTGTGAAATAAATGAGAATTCTCCCCAGTAAAAATGATCTGCAGGTGGTTTCCAGTTGTACCTGTTTAATACATGATGCATGAAGTGTTCAGAAGCCAAATGCTTCTTAGGGTGTTTTTGTTCTAATTTATTAAGCGAGGCTCTGTGCATACACTTATCACAACTGTCCTTTGCAGCTGTTTCTCTGAGTGTAAGACCAAAGAGGCAGGTCACCCAGCTGCTAATCTACTGAAATAAGGGAGTGAGAAGACTTAATGTACTGAAAACCCCAGTGTGAGAATGCTGGGATGTGTGGAGAAGGAAGGCTACAGAGTTCACTGATTTTGCTACTTACTTACAGCATATCTTCACTACCATTCCCCTTTGCATAAGTAAAGATCTCATCCAGGAGCTGGCAAGTGAATGTTTCAAGGTCCTTTTCCTCTCATCAGGTGAACCTGATCTATCCACAGCAGTCTTCTTGCCTTGTAAGGAGACAATTTGACTTTTAAGAGGTTTTGAAATGGAAACAGATTCTTCTTGAGTTGGTTAGGCTAGTCAAGGACTGGCGCACAGCAAACCCAACCAGGAGCCAGCTCAAAACCATGTCAAGAGAAGGTTTGGGGTTTTTTACTCTTGAGTCTGTTCTCATTATGTAAAAAGACTGTTATTTACCCCCAGCACTTTAATACAGAGCTAGTCCAAATTTTCCTGTGCCAAGATACCTCCCATGGGAGCTGTGGAAGTCACTGCTGCAGGCAGTTTTGTGTTTGTTTTGTGTTACCGGAGAAGGTCGTGGGTTATTGCTTGAATTAAGACAAGTTCTGTTCCCTACCTCTGCTGGGAACAGAAGCTGGATTGTGAAGATGTTGGGCTCAACTGAGTTCTCTGATGTTGATCAGATAATGTGACTGCAGGACCAACCTGCAGGTGCTAGTGGGAAAGGCTTTAGTCAGATCTCATCCCTTCAACTGTGTTTTTGTTTTGTTTTGCTTAGGGACATGTTTTCATTACACTCTGAATGTTTCTCTGACCTCAGTGACTATTTCTGACTCTCTGCTTCTGTTTAAATAGAATATGGCGAGTTCCTACACTGCAAAGGGAAGAAATTCACTGATTTTGAGGAGGTCCGTTTGGAGATTGAGGCTGAAACAGATCGTGTTACTGGCTCCAACAAAGGGATTTCCCCTGTGCCCATCAATCTTCGAGTCTACTCTCCCCATGGTGAGTTCTAATGCAGCATCTGAGTCGGCAGGGTGCTGCTTTGTCATGAAATAGACACAGAACAGAGGTGAAATGGAGAGCGTGCTTGATTTTGACTTTAATCTCCATGTGCTGGGCCATGCTGTATGAAACCATTAGCCCTGGACATACTGCTGGAAGAGTCTGCCAGCTGAAGGATCTGACTGCTGGCAGAAACAACTGACGTCTGTGCAGCAGCTTTTTCCTGAGGCTGTTCTTTTCCATCAGTATGGGCATTACCTTGAAGAGCTGCTATCTCTTCCTGCTTCCTGATACTGCTCTACTGGGCAAAGAAATGGGGAGAGTGGCTTTCTTGAAGAGCACTTCTGTTTGCATGTAAATATATACCTTGTATAGTTCTTTCTGGGTACTGCCTATGTCAAATGCTGCTGATCTCAGTGGAAGAATTCTTTTTAAACAAGGGAGTGACATAGTCCCAATTTTGCCATCTCTTTAAATGTGAACAACTCTCTGGGCATTTTTGGAAGGTAGCAGCTCAGTGCTGTGTTTTTTGTTTTGTTTTTTTTTTTCTCTCAGCAAGACTATGAATCAGTTGTATAGGGCTGCATGTTGTAGTCCTGCAGGAGAAGGCCCAGCTGACTGTGACAGGAGCCTCCCTTGAATAAGGGTGGCAGGACCTAGCTTTTCAATACTAGGGACGACTCTTAATATGTGGAAGCAATACTTCTGACTCTCCAGACTTTGTTATGAAGTGGAAAAACTAGTACTGTTGTTTCTTCCCTTTCAGTGTAGTCTATATGGAATGACTTTGAGGACACAGTTTTTCTGACCAGGGTGAGAATAAGTGATTTAGAGGAAAAGGTGATGACATTGGCAACTGCAACTAGTTGTTACTAAGCAGTAACAGAACTAGAAAGCTGTGTGCTTCTCTGTGCATCCATTATGCCTATTATATATTTGAGACACCAAAGCTACATGTGTTTACTTAGAGACCAGAACATTCAGATCTCAACACTCCCTTGTGTTATCTTCTGTTTCCTTTGTCTAGTCCTGAACCTGACCTTGGTGGATCTACCGGGTATGACAAAAGTCCCAGTAGGGGACCAGCCCCCTGACATTGAGTTTCAGATCCGAGATATGCTCATGCAGTTTGTCACCAAAGAGAATTGCCTCATCTTGGCAGTATCTCCAGCCAACTCTGATTTGGCCAATTCTGATGCCCTGAAGATTGCAAAGGAGGTGGATCCTCAAGGTAAGTATCTCTCTTATTTAGCATGACATTACTAGATAGTGGCCTGATTTTTTCTTTTAACCTTTTGGTTGTGATTAGCCCACTAGGCTGTGAGCTCCTGTCTTGGGTTGTATCTTCACCAACATGCATTCTTCTGAGAGGTGGCAGTGTGAGGTTGGGCAACCTGTCAGCTCTGTAAGCAGAGGAAAACAGTAAGTTATTTGCTTGATAAAGTATGCCTATTTTTTTCCACAGGGCAACGCACTATTGGAGTCATCACTAAGCTGGATCTTATGGATGAAGGCACTGATGCACGAGATGTATTAGAAAACAAATTGCTTCCACTTCGTAGAGGTATGCTTCCTCATGTCCATGATCTCCTTCCTCTGTTTTCCCTGTGTGAGGTGTCCTGGCCTCATCCTCTTCCTCCAGTGCATCCCCTTCCTGCAATGTCTTTTACAACTTGTGGTTAAGCCATTTCTGTACCAGGCTGGAGCTGAGAAAAGTCAGGGACTGGTCACACTGCTGATAGGAACTCTTTAGGTATTCGTACCTAGATATGTAGTCCTAGCAGAAGCACAGCTTTATGGTCTGGTTTCTGCTTTCTATTTACTTCTAATAAGGCAAACTGCAAAAAATGGAACTCCTGTCTAAAGGACTTGTCATCTTTTATCTAGAATGCAATTGCTATAGTATATTAGATGAAGTAATTTTGGCCTGTGATATGTGCTACGTTAGCCATAGTGAAGTACCTATCCTAAGGATTTTAACAGAAGAGTCTGAAATGGATGAGACTAGGGTATGCTTTGTGACTGGGGGAACACTTGATAAATAAACTTATTCTCAGTTGCATAGTCACTTTTGTCCTGCATCCCTAACCATCAGAGCCTGGGCCATTCAGAGGAAATCCTAGTTTTAAACTCTTCCAGTGAGTTCCTAATAACATGTTGCTACTAGAATTCCCCCTTTGCAGTGCTGCCAGCTGGGTAACTTCCTTCTCAGTCTGAGTCCTATTCACATTCTTATCCTTACAACCATCTGATCTCTAACCCCGCTCTTACAGGTTACATTGGTGTAGTGAACAGAAGTCAGAAGGACATTGATGGCAAGAAGGACATTCAGGCAGCTCTGGCTGCAGAGAGGAAATTCTTTCTCTCCCACCCAGCCTACAGACACATGGCTGATCGCATGGGAACCCCCTACCTGCAGAAAGTATTGAACCAGGTACTGTCAACAGCTAAGAACTGCTGCCCACTATGTCACTGGAATGGCCATCAGGGCTCTTCTCAGATGGAAGTGGCTGACTTGTACAAATATTGATAAACAGTGAAAAGCACTAAGGTCAATTACAGAGCTTACACACCAGAGGCAGAGCACTGCTTTATCCTCTCTGTAACACTGGTGCAAAATCAGTAGTTGGCACATTTACACTGTTAGAATGCAAGGTCTTTCTAGTTAAGCTAAAAGATGCCTTCTAAATTTCTAGTGGTCTCTGTACCTAACAGTAAGCTGCAAAGATTGATTTCAATGTGATACTGGTAGTCATTTTCCTATCTATTAAGGCTATCTTACCTCCTGTCTCATGCAGTAGCAGCTTATTGTTGCTTCCCTCTCTGCTCCCTTAAGTGAAGAACTGCTTTGTTCTTTTTCCTCCTTATTTAAATACTTGTCTTCAAACTGGAATTTTTGACAGCTGTGCTCTGTGGAAACCCTCTTATTAGAGCCTCATCAGTGGTTTTGGCTCTTTCCACCTTGCCTTGTGATGTTTATTGTTGAAAAAGGGTTTAACCACTATGGTGTTAGTGGTTTGATAATCTGAAGCTGGGATAGTCTTTACCTGTATTAGCAAATGCTAATACTTGTATGTAAAGCTTATTCTTGAGTTGGAGACAGCAGGCTTGTATGAATGGGAGTTTTGTACCTGACTAGAAGGTAAAATGAAGGTGATGAATAGAGGAATGCAATAAGTAGGAGCTGTAGAGGCAGGATAAACATCACTCATAAATGGTATCTGTCCTGAGATAAACTTATTAGGACCACTCAGAAGGACTGAGCACAGAAGAGAGGAGTACTCCTCTTTTTATTTTATGGTGTGGAAGTAGCAAACTCTTCCCAGTAACCACATGGAGGTTTATTATCATCTTAAACCCTTTTCTTGTGTAGCAATTGACCAACCACATCCGTGACACCCTGCCAGGGCTGCGCAACAAGCTCCAAAGCCAGCTTCTCTCCATTGAGAAGGAGGTGGAGGAGTACAAGAACTTCCGCCCTGATGACCCTGCTCGCAAGACCAAAGCTCTGCTTCAGTAAGTGGCCCCAGTGGCAAGTCCCTCCTTGGAGATGACTGCTCAGCCATGACTTCTACTTAATGCCTTTTGTTTTCTTTCAGGATGGTCCAGCAATTTGCTGTGGACTTTGAGAAACGCATTGAAGGCTCTGGAGACCAAATTGATACCTATGAGCTGTCAGGAGGAGCTAGGATTAACCGTATCTTCCATGAGCGTTTCCCCTTTGAACTGGTGAAGGTACTGCTTCCCTGTGCTGCTGAGATCCACTTTGTCATCTTGCATATTGTCTTTTACCTCTTCTGTCTCCTTACTCCTCTTGGTATCTTTCATAAGCTGTCTTTCCTTTTGACTGCTTTGTTTCACGTTCTTCCTTTTATCGCTTTCGTACTTATTCTGTCTCCTTTATTGGAGCCTTCCCATAAGGGAACTGACCCTTTCCCTCAGTCCCCACCCTTGTGACAGAACTTAAATTTTCTCTTAGTTAAATGACTGTGTTTCTTTTTTTTTTTTTTTTTTTTTTTTTTAATTCCTAAATGCTAAATTAAATGTGCAAAATAACTTTAACACAAACTGTTGTAAATCAATGACTGTTCTTGCAGGTATGTTGTGTCAAAGCTTTGACTGATTTTTGCATAGTATGAATGGTGCTGAAACTTGTACTTCCTTGATTCTGAGCACCAGATCAGAATTAAAGTTGCCCTAATAAATATGCAAGAAGCAGGAAAGAGGATGTAGATACACCTGGGATTACTTCTGTCAGTCCTCTATCAATGGCCTGGAGGTGGGAACAGTGGAGAAACTGTTCTACTGTCATAACAGTTAAAGAGGATTTTAATTGAGTTATAGTTTTCTTGGATGGCAAAGTGCACTAATCTGATCAGAAGTGGTACAGAAAGGCTTCTTTTGATATCAGTTGGAACAGACTTGAGAGCCAAATCATTCTAGTCCTGGATTTGCTTTCTTTTCTGCATTTGAATAAGATGAGGCCTTTTCAGGTGAAATACAAGAGCCTGCCTTGTATTGGATAATACATTTTTTTTGTATGTGAATTGTAAATCTATTTGTTGTGTTCACTGAAAAAAACATCTGCCAAGATCTTGGGCTGAATCTTGGGAGACAAAACAGTGTGTTTTAGGAAGCAATCTAGTACTTCAGTCAGATTGCTTTATCTCAGCAAAGCTCCTTGAGAGCTGCTGGGGCTTGGCATCTGTAAATGTAGGCCCTCAGCTATTTGTATTTGTCCAGCATGTCTGCACTGGCAATAGAAGCCTTAGGGCTGGACTCTGTATCCAACACTTGGGCTAATATCTCATCTGTCACATGACAGTGCTGGCGTGGGACAGCTCTTGTTGTTGTGTATCCTGGGGTTGCGCAAATAAGTGTCAGACAGATTCTGATCAAATTCTCTCTTGGTGCAGATGGAGTTTGATGAGAAGGAGCTGCGGCGGGAGATTAGCTATGCCATCAAGAACATCCATGGTATCAGGCATGTATCACACACTAGGCAGACCATTGGCTGCATAGCCTTGTAAATACCTCTAGACCTTCTGAATGGAGTTGAAGACTTCAGAGGTACGGTAGGTCAGCCAAAGGGGAGGGATAACCTCCTTGGACCACTCCAGTAGCTTGAATTTGGGAGTAGGGGCAATCATCCAAGTCAGTTTGCTTTCTCTTCCCATGTGAGAGTCGCAGAAGGCTAAAAGGTAAAATTGCCTTGGTGACAAGACGTTTTTCACCCTCCTTCTTGTGTCATAAAGAATAGGAAGAGGGATGCCAGCCCACACTACTCTTTCATTTAGTTAAAACCAAAATGTCCTGGTGGCTGAGGTGAAATGGTGGCCTGGCCATGGCTGTCCAGATGGGATCTGTTTTGCCTTCAGCACCTCCTTCTTGTGAGGTGCCAAGCATTCCCCATTTTCCATGGACTCCAGTCAGGGCTTGTCCTAGGGGATGTGACATGCACTCCCAGCCCCACGTGCCGGGTGTCAGTGATGGCGGTGCCTGCTCCAAGATGTGTGTGTAATGATTTGACATTCTCCTTGCCCCTTCTCCCCCTCCTGCCTTCTCTTGTCCCCACCCTGGGTGTTTAGAACCGGTCTCTTCACACCCGACATGGCCTTTGAGACCATTGTGAAAAAGCAGGTGAAGAAGATTAAAGAACCTTGCCTGAAATGCGTGGACATGGTCATTTCGGAGTTAATCAATACTGTTAGACAGTGCACCAAGAAGGTAACCAGAGGCAGCATGGAGTTGGCACCTTCCACCTGCTCGCTGGCTGTGGCGCAGCATTGTGACCTGGGCAGGGACTTGCCTGCAGCCACACTCGGTGTTTCTAACCACCTCCTCAGCATGACTAGACCTGAGCGGTACCAACCTGGAGCGACCCAGCCAACAAGCCAAACAGGAAGGGAAGTGCTGTGGCACATGTGCCATGGCCCTGCTCCCTGCCTTTTTGAGCTAAGGGGTGCTGGAGATGTCCCTGCCACCCTTCTAAAACCAAGGGTATTTCTTATGTGGCCACATTTGAGTTTAAATTTAGTATCTGGGTTTATTTTCCAAGGCAGAAACTGGGATTTAAATTTTGCCCCCTCTGTTCTTGTAGAAGTTAGAGGGTTAATCCCAAACTAGCCTTTGTGTGCTGCTGGGGACAAGTATGGGGCTGAACTTCAGAGGATACAGCAGTTATAGCTGTGGGCTGTATTGCAGGGAACCATTCCTGTGGTGTTTGGCTTGGTTTCTGGTTGGCTTGGTCCATTACCCTGTTCTGGAAGAGCAGCACATGGCTGAGAAGAAGCAAGTTAGAAATGTCCATCAATCTCTGTGGTCCTCCTAATCTCGGAGAGAGGGCTTCAGGTTTTGCTCTTTGGGATCCATACTGGTACATGTTGGGGCTGAGGGAGGGAACCTGCCTGATTTTGCCCTTTGGATATGGCAGTTCTTGTTTTCTTGGGGTTGAAAAGCAGCAAGATAAAATGACTTGTCCCATTCCTCTCAGCCATGGCTTGCTGCTTCAGGCAGGGCTAGGTGCTGGTGGAAAGGCACCTCAGTTAGGATGATGGTATGGGCACTGGAGACTGGAATCGCCACTGGCTATTCAGGTGCAGGTAAATGGGTGTTGCAGGAGGTGCCTGAAGAGTCTGACACCCTGTCTCTGCAAGGGTGGGGAAAGGTGCCCAAGTGGTGATACTTGCCATTGCTTGGAGAAATGCCTAGTCCTTAGGGCCAAGAGCTTCTACAGAAGGGCTCAGGCAAGCAGGCACGTGCTTTGCCCCCCAGGACAGACTGGGAAAGCAAAGTGGATGCAGTGAGAGAATGCTCAGGTTTCTAGAGTGCTGGAGGAGCTTCCTTTTTCCTTCCTGCTGTCATCTCTTGGGGTGTGTGACTGTGGGGAGCACCCAGAAAATTGCCATTAGAGCCTGGCGACAGGTAAGCACAGGCCCTCAGGCTGCCAAGTATCCAGAGTCGCCTGCTAACTGGATCAGAAGGGCCCTTTTCCATGCCCTCTGAAGCTTCTCTTGATTTATTTTCCATTCCTCAGTTGCTGTTAAAAATCTCCCATTCATTCTTTCTCTTCGCATCCTTCCTTCCATTCCCCACCTCTTTTTTTCTTTCACTGTTCCTTTTTGTTTCCTCTTTTACTGATAATTTCAGAATAGACCATCTGTTCTGACAGCAGCAGGTTCCTCAAGTGATCAGGTGGTGGGTAGCAGGGTGGGAAATAAGAGGCCACAGGGGTGGGGGGGTAAGTGTCACAGATCCAGGATGAAAGCATTCCATTTTAGCTCAGCTCCTACTGCTATGGATTTGATGGTTTTCCTCAGTGCTAGTGTGTGCTCTAGTAGCCATGGCTACAGATTTGTATTTGAAGAAAGAAAATATTGTGATTCAGGTGATATTCAGGTACTGGAAGCTACTGATTTATTAAAGATACTTGGTTTTGTGCAGGGCCTTCCACATCTGGTGGGGAAAACGGTGTTTATTGAGCTTAGCAGGGCAACTGCATTAGTAGGAACTGTCGTTAAGTCAGAGGATGTGAACTTTGGAAATGCCCTTGCTTTGCTCGAAAGAGGCATTGTTGACACCTTGAGAAAGACCCTTGGGTGAAGCTGAATCCTGTAACATATTCTAACTCTTGGCTGCTTAAAAAGCAAACTAGTTGTAGGTCTTACACTATGTGCTGAGGGGTGTTTTAATAGCAGTGGTGCTTGGGGTCTTGCAGGTGTTATCCACAGAGATGTGAAAGATGAAAAACAAGTAACTCGGTCTGTATAACAAAGAGCATCCTGGTAGAAGCTCTAAAGTGTTAAAGATGTGCTGAAAAACTTCTTTGGGTTAAGTAGTCTTGAATTAATCTTGGCCATGTTTTAGTAACTTTAGTTTCTATGGACTTTCTGCTTTTTCATAGTGGAGCCACTGTGAATACGGGCCACTCAGGATCAGTGGAAATTAAGACTTCCTTTTAAACCTCAATGGGCCTGTATTGGGCCTGATGCTACAGGTTAGCTGGGGCAGAATGGATGCTTTATATAGCTGTGGATGCCCTGCAGAATGTATACATTTTCCTAATAAGTGGGTACATCTGTTCTGAAGAAGTTAATGTTGCAGGAAAGGTGAGTGAAGTCAAATGAAATATGCTCCATAAGTGGACCAGTCTGTCTGAATCCCTGCAAATGAGAGCCATCAATTCAGTTCAGTTCTGCTAAAGCAAGATGCAAGTGACAGACTCTAGCAAGTCTTAATTTGGCTTCTGTTCTGGCTTTCTGCAGCTGGAATGGGGAAAATATAAAGGGGAGATAATGGTGGTGGGAAGGGAAGGGGAATGCCTGAAGCAAAGGGAAATGAGACCAAGTGAGCCTCTAGGAAGAGGGGCAGTGGCTCACTGGCAAGCAGCTTCGTCTTAAACTCCAAAGAAGCTTTCCTTCAGGAGGAGATCACTTGATCCCTGGGGAGTTCCATCCATTCATCTTGCTCTTGACAGCTCACCATTTCACTGGCCCAGCCTCTCCTACCTCATTCCCCTTTGCCACTTCCATTTGCCTGTAGACTCTCCTGATACTTGGCAGTGCACAGGCCCCATAGCAATGCTCACCTGGTTCAATAAACTAATGGAATGAACCAAAAATCTCACTTCTCATTTTGCCTTGTGTTTTCTCTCTTTTCCCTTCTCCTTCCTTCTCTTTCTTCCTCCTTCCCGTTCTTTCTCTGCTTCGCTTTCTTCTTCCTCGTTGCTTCCTCCCACCCTGCCCCTGCCATGCAGAACGGGTCTCTTCACGCCTGACCTCGCTTTTGAAGCCATAGTGAAAAAGCAGGTGCAGAAGTTGAAGGAGCCGAGTCTGAAGTGTGTGGATATGGTAGTGAGTGAGCTCACATCCACCATCAGAAAGTGTAGCGAAAAGGTAAAGAAACAAAACATGCAAAGAAAGGTCAACGCCCGCTCCTTTCCCACACACTTCCATGCTCTTTCTCCACACGCATCCTCAGGAACTCCAGCAAACCTAGAGAGAGAAAATGGGTATAAAGATGTAGCTAAAGGAAAGCAGCAACCTGCAGCTGTAAGAGCAGTTTAAAAGCAGGCCAAGAGAAGTGGCATCAGCTGATGGGCTCTTTAGCTGAGAAGTGAGCTGGGATCTAGTGGATTACTCCAGCATGCACTTTTCCTCTGGCTGGCTCTGTAGTATACACCTCAGTGGGACTCACACCCTTTGCAAGCCCCGTTTCTGTGCCACTACCTGCACATTTGGAATGTCTTGTTTTTTGTGGGACACCCCCTCCCTTAAAAAAAATGGAGATACCCTAGAAAAAGCCAGAAAAGCCCTCACATCCCCCAGCACGAGCAGTCTGCAGGTTGCATTTGTCCACAGAGCTATGTTGAGCAGTAGCATATAAAAACCAACAGTCAGTTGAAAGTTTGAGGTGGAAGATGTTCTGCAAGAGATACTCGGGGTCAACAGAAGATGACTTTGGGGAAAAGCTTTTCCAGGCATTACACCCTCTGCATCATTCTCCTGCTGCTCTCTCGCTCCATGAACTATGCTCAGCTGGAGGTAGTGTGGATGTTTTTCCTTGTATGCTGTGAAGCACAGGAGGTGAAGCCTTAGGCTAGGAGAGGGCAGCAGTAAGTGGAGAGGGAAGCTGTCCCAAGCGACATGGAAGGTGTTAAATACTGCTTAGAGGCTGGGGCAGGAATGGGTTTGTTTCCCAGGCTGGTTTCCTCCAGGAGAGGGCACCACATGCCTCCTTAAACTGAAAAAAGGCAGTTGTGGCAATTGGTGTAAAACACACCAGTGAGGAGCCAGAAACATCTGTGGCACAAGAGAAGTATGTTCTGGAAACTGAGTTGGAAAGAGCTGTTTCATGAGTTATTTTAGGGCTTGAAAATTACAGTTCCCTTCTTCCAGGGTTGCAGCCAGACTCACCATGTATACCCCTAAGCTGGGAAGGAAAGGAAGGGACGATAAGAATTGATCTGAGTTCAGAGTGAAGGCAAGAGCTGAGCTCATAAGGTGGTTGTACGTAGGAATAGAGCTCACCACTGCCTCTGTTTGGAAGGTGACATCTTTGACATGCCCTGAGCTCTGCCCAGTCTCTCTCTTGTAGAGTCCTGCTGTTGCCAGACTGTGGGGGCTGATGTGGTGAAGCAGAGTAACTCCTTTCCAGCCTGTTTCTCTTGTGGGTTTTATTTGATGGATTTGGTTGTTTACAGTGTTTTCTGTATCTGGCCAGAGATGTCTGCGCTGGGTGGGGAGGGAGAAGGATCATGTAAACCCCAAGAGTGCTGAATTCCAATTTTTGTTGGACCATGTTATTAGAAAGGCTGGATACCAACTTGTGCTGTGGATTTTAATCTGTGGTATGGTGGAGGACCACATGAGGATGTTCCAAGGGGATGCAACCAAGATAATGCTGTAAGGAAGGTGAGAGTAGCAGTAACACTGTAGGAGATTAATGGCTGTAATAAAAGGCAGAGGGGCCAGGGAGGTAAATATTAGAGATGTGAAATAACTGTCTGAACAGAAATATGTAGCAACAATACTGGAAAATAAAAGAAAGGCTTTAGTAGTGCTTAAAGTCAAATGTCTACATGTAGTGATAAGGTTAATCTTGCCTGTATCTCCCCTTGAAAGAGTAGAAGGTAACTGCCATAGACCATTTTAGGACAGCAGCCAGCCTGAGATGGGGTCTGATGGCATAAGGTAGTAACAGCACAAGGGCATTAGTCAATTTGCAATATTTATCTTGCATGTTATAGCCCTGCTTGATGTGGATAAGAGCATGTGCTATTTAGGGAAGATACCTGGAAAAGGCTACTTGAGGACTGATGCTAATTGTAAGGTAATACCCAGCCTGCTGTGGTGTGGACTGATGCTGCCATTCAGATGACAAATCCAAACCTATAAACTCACTAGAAGCCCTGTGAGGCTTCTTGAAAGGAAGATCATGTGGGCTAACACCTCTTGAATTAGCTTAACAGTCCAGTAGCCTTGGTTTGTTGCTGTCCTGAACTATTGTGTGTTGTTTGTGTGGTGTCACAATTATTTCATTTCACCCCAGATGGTGAGGACATCTTTGTATGTGCAGCTGATAAAGCTGCATGGATGGAATAATATGGGACTATCAATAAAGAACACGGAGGGCGGCAAACCCATCTGTTGTCTACAAAAGTACAGCTTTCCTGTATGAAAAGAGATTTGCAGTTGACTATTAGACTAAGTTGAGAGCTGAAGAGAAGGCAGCCACTGACAACTGTTCTCTGGCCTGATTCCGAGCTTCTTCCAGTTGGTTATATGGAGAGTAGCTCCAAAATCAGCAGAAAGCTGGTGTAAGATGTAAGACCTCACATTTAGGAGGATAATGTTCTAGCTAGTGTTTTTCCAAAAGCAGGAACCTTCTGTGCCAGACTGCACTGCAGCATCTCACAAGTGCAGGAAGATCTTGCAAGTCAGCAACTTTCAGCTAAAGGTTGCTCTTTGGTGTGCTGGCAAGGTCTCCTGGAATCTGCAAAGAGGGGAACTAAGGAACATTGGGACAAATTGCTTTTCAAAGAGGGTTGTAAGCTTGTATTTTGATTAAACAGGCAAATGCAGCTAAAACAGGATTGAAAACCCAATTGAGCTGGGACATGATCCCAGGCTGACAGACTTTGAACCCCTTGAAGGGTCGCCTGCTCTCCTGTCTTTCAGAGTCATGGCATTTCTGGGTGCTGTTTGTACTGCTGGTGATAACTCCCTGCCCCTCTGTGCCCTATTGCATGTTCCCTGGTGGTGTGACATCCCATGGCTGCCTGTGTCCTCTTCCCTTGCCCACCCTTGCTTCTCCTGTGCATGCTTGGGGTCGCAAGCTCCTGCATGGGGACTGATGCTGTCAGTTTATTTTTGCACATGGACGTTGCTGGATTTGGACCTGGGTTTGGAGTAAACCACAACTTGGTTTGCACTTTGTGTGCATTTGTACTGGTTGGGAGTGGGGTGGGAGGGGGAAGGTTTGATGTGTTTTTTGTTTGACTGTTTTTAATTTGAAGCAAAGAAGCTGAGACTTGCTTAGAGGTTTTCCAACTTCCTGTTTTTGTTTGACATAACTTGCCCATCTATCCTTTGCCAACCCCCCAAAGGAAACAGGAAGTTTTGCCTGTGTGTCTCTGAAGCAACCAGCTGCCTAAACCATAAAGATCATGGAGAACACCCAGTTTGTGCTTTCAAGACAAGGTGGTGGTGGGGAACACTAATTTCACTTAGTTTTTTCCTGCCTCTGTAGGGTCATTGGCATTCAAAACAAACGACACGTTTGAAAATGGGCAGCATCAAAGCTAGTGCTCAACGTCAGTTCCAGGCTATTGTGACTTACCTGACTGCAAGGGTGCTGGAAGGGTTTGAGACTATCTGTAATCACATGTTAGCAACATTGATGGTTAGTGTCAGATCTGGCTTCCAGTGGGGGTGCTGCACACTTTGAGCCAGTTCCTTCTCACATCTTCTAACTGCTTATGTATACAGAACAAAAGGCCAAACCAGTTCTAGAAGTTCCTCTCATGTACACTGAAGGAACGAAACAAATCAGTATAGATCATAGGCAAATGAGACTTCTTTTTTATACATCCCCCTCGATATCCCTTAAGGGGATATAAAAGACTGGTATTAGGAAATGCTGTTTGACATTATAGTCAAATTGGAGGTAATATTAAGAAAAAAATGGGGGAAATTATTTATTTAGTGGGGGATAGGCAGAGTGAGGAAGAACAGGCTAGATCCTGGGTTTGGAGGGTTAATCTCATTTGCCTGTTCTAGGCCTGACCTGAGAGGCATACAGTTACTGCTGTTGAAATCACTAAAGGCTTATGAATGTAGGCAAGTAGGTAGGTGCTGTGTGAAACCCGGAGGGCTTTAAGGGGATTGATTTTGGTAGTGTCTCTCATGTATGATCTCTAGATAATTCTTTTGAACCACAGCTCATAAAGTCCTACTTCTCTGTCTGACCGAAAAGTAGAAGGATTTCCTCCTCGGTAACATGGCAAAAACTGTGGTGTAGGTGTGATCTGAATGCAGACCTCAGCTATGTAATCCTGCCCCAACACAGGGGGAGAGCAGGTAAAAGCAGCCTAGAGCAATGTTTCTTGAAGATACGTACTCTTGAGTTGGTCAGATCCTCTGTGTCTGCTGCAGATGTTGATGGGGAGGGCCAGATGCTTTCACATAGAGGCTCAGCAAATGGGGATTGAAATCCACTTCACTTCCCAGGGAGACTTTTCATAGGTTCATAGCAGCTTATAGCAAAAGACCATTCACCTCCTTAGCTTACTACAGTGAGCCTTTACATCTAGGGTTTATCAAGTGTGTCATGCCAGAGAGAACGTGGTGGGTTAGGAGCAGGCCTCCAGTGAGGCAGAAAGGTTGCTGCAAGAGTGCAAAGGGCTTTTTCCTGAAGCCCAAAGCAAGAGGGGAATGAACTTTGCCACCAGCAGACCTTCAGGAACTTGGAAAACTTTTATGCAAGTCCAGCTTTCTGGAACTTCCCTTGCAAATAGCTGACTGCAGGGTGTATGTATGCATGCATGTATGGGGGGGGCTGCTCCCCACTTCATACCTCCCTTTCCCATGTGCACGTGTTTTCTCTCTCCTGCAGCTCAGCCAGTACCCTCATCTGCGTGAGGAGATGGAGAGGATTGTCACAACTCACATCCGTGAGAGAGAAGGCAGGACCAAAGATCAGGTAGGGCATCAGGAGTGTGTGTAAGAGGGGAGATTGGAGGTGTGGGGACACCTTTGAAGGGACAGTCTAGGCTAGACTGAGCCAAGGGGTGTCTGGCTGCAGAGGGCTGGTCAGATGAACAATGCACAGGGCTCTGTCTGCTCCTGACTATTACCAGTGTCAGTCACTAATGTCTGTCTTGCTCTGTGCCTCTGTTTGGCAGGTCATGCTTCTAATAGACATTGAGTTGGCTTACATGAACACGAACCATGAGGACTTCATTGGCTTTGCCAAGTAAGCACCCACAGCCTGTTGCCCCCTTTTGTCTGCCTGTGTTTCCTGCGGCTCTGTCCTATAGCTGCTCCAGTAAATGGGTTGCAAAAGCCCTGGTGCAGATACTGTGGTCCCAAAGTATTGCTCAGCTCTCAGTATTGCTTGATTTTTCAGTGGCTCTGTATTGCAAGGCTGGGGAGGAGAACAGGGATGTGTAGAAGGGGGAGTGAAGAGTATTAGGGTTGAGTCAGGAAGAAAGAAGCAGAAGCTGTGGAGGGTTAGTGACACAAGTGTGGTTCAGGTGGGAGCATGATGAGTTGACCAGGCTGAGAGAGCAGATGGAAATAAATGGGGTTATCAAGGCTTGGAAGGCAGTGGTGAGGTGCATGAACTCACTGTAGCAGCAATCTGATGGGAGCAGAATTCAGGTAATCGGGAGCCTGAGGGGTTTTGAATGTCTCTGCTGTTGTTTGCAGTGCTCAGCAGAGGAGCAGCCAGATGAGCAAGAAGAAGGCAGCTGGCAACCAGGTAGGCCAAGTTCCATCTCCTTCACTGCTGCAAGAAGGGCATGTTTGCTACCTGGAAGCTACCAGGTGGGCAAGTGCTGGGCTGGATGCAGCAGTGCTCTAAGTTGGTTTTTTTTATTCATCAAACTCCATTTATACCTGGAGGATGCTGGTTTAGGCTCACTGCAGTCAGGAAGAGCTGAGCATGTAGCAGCAATAGAGGGCAAGTATTGTAGAGGGAAATGATGTTTGATAATCAAGCTCTGGTCTTGCTTTTCTGGTAGAAATCCTTATTAATGTTGTATAAATCCCTGTTCAGACCCTTCACTAGCTGTGCTAACTCCTCTGTTGAAGTGAGGGATACGGAACACTAGGTGTGAACTGTTGCAGTACAAATTGTCTTTTGTGGTTGTCTTTCCCACCAGTGGTATCTACTTTCTGGAAAGGGATTTCAAGAGAGTTCATAGACTCTCTTCTGGAAAACTTCCCTGGAAGTATTTAAATCTCTGTATGGGGAGACAAAGGGTGATTATAGCCATGGTTGCACAGGGTGTGTATGAGAACACACCCATGGGAGAAGACAGCAGCGGAGGGGAGGAGTTCCATTATTCCTCTAGGAACTGTAAGGAATAATGGAAATCAATTGAATATAATTGAGAAGGGGCTAATGGTACTTTCTCCCAGATTTGCTGGGGACATGGCAAGGCTCTCTAGGCTAGAAGATCTTGTAGAAACAAACCTTTACAAGCAGTTTCATAAAGAATGGAAGCAAATGCTTTTGTTCAGTCCTTTTGAAGACATTCATTCCTGACATCCATCCTCTTTATAATAAGTCTGACCACCGTTCCCTGCATGTAAACACTCAGACTGTTTCAGTACTGTTGGCAGGCAGGTAGGTCAGCAGGTTGGGCTGGCCAACCATCCATTCCATGGGATCTTGGAGCAGCTGTAAGGAACCCCATCCTCTGCAGTACCACTGATACAGAGCTGAGTGTAAAAGAGTGCAGAGGGCAAACTCTGGATGTACCTGTAAAGCGCTTTGGCTTTCCCATTAGCAGACTTTATTTTGGGATGGGGGTTGCTTTTGTTAACACCTGGGGTAAAAGATTTGGCACCAGCTTCCAGTTTATTTTATTTTTGAGCCTCTCTCCTCCTGCTCCAGCTTTCCTAGTAACAATCTCTCCTCTCTTTGCTCCTCTCCTGCTCTCTGCTCTGCTGCTGTTGCTATGGTTCCCCTTTGCAGGATGAGATCCTGGTGAGTAGAAGGCCACTCAGCAGGGTGTGCTAATGAACATTAATGTTGCATCTGGGAAGGCAAGAACAGTGCATAAAGAAATTATTCCCTCTGCTGCCGAATGGGGAGAGGAGGGCAGCTGGCACTAGGCACAGGTGAAGCAGAAATGAGGTTGAAAGGTAGTATGTCGAGGTAAAACTCAGAACTGCTGGTACATCTTGTGAGTGGGTGGAGATGAAAAGCAGTAATCCACGGATGTGTGGTTCTGTTTCACTGCCCCCTCCTGTCCATGGAGAGAATAGGACTATCTCGAGCTTAACAGTAGGTGTAAGATGAAGATCCAATGCCCCTAGGTTTACCTTTATAGGGTAAATTGACAATTAAAAGGACTGTGTACCTCTGGTAGGCTGCTCACACAGTGCAATTTGCTAATATCCAGTGCAGCTGCATGTTTTTTTTCAAAGCCAGGTTGTTTTCAGCAAGCACATCCATACAACGAGGTACACACACAATGCATGCAGATGCTTTTGGGTATTAACAGTGCAGTAATAGGCGTAAAAGCTAATGCATTTAAGCTGATGCATACTTGCATTTGATTACTGCACATGTGAGGCTCTAAACCAGCACTTGGTGAACTGGAGTTCCCTAGAGAGTAATAGCCTGGCTTCTTTACAGGCTAAGCCTAAAAAGAACTTGTTTTGCCCTAAATTGACTACTCAAACACCTGGGTACAAAAGTCCAGAGTACTAATTCCAGATGCACCGTTTTGTTCTGTTATACTTAGTGTCTCCTTTTACTAAACTCAATTCTCTCTGGGTTGCTTGCCCATCTCTTCTTGCCCCGACCCCTGAGCTGAGTGAAGCACTCCACACGCTCAGTGTGCCCAAAGGTGTGCTGGCACCCTGGTTTTCTCTAGGCATGGCCTTTTCTGGGTGTGTTGCTGTGATCTGGTGTTTGTAGGTTGTGCCAGTATCTGAGGCACTCTTGATGCGCTTCTTCCTGCATCTCTTTCCTCTTGGCAGAGGGTATAATGCACAGCACTGCCAGGCTCCTTCCTGCGTCCTTTTTATACTGTTCCTGGCCCTTTTGAGGCAAAGACCTTCACTGGCCAGTTGAGTGGGGGGCTCCTCTGGCAGCAGCAGAGAGCATGGTGTTCCTCGTCTTTCCATACAACTCTGTGTGTAGGGATACCCTCTGATCTTTCCTCTGTCACCTAAAGCCAGGCTTTTAGGGCCTGTATTAATGCTCACTGCTTCCACCCCCTTAGGTCATCCGAAAGGGCTGGCTCACCATCAACAACATTGGGATCATGAAGGGTGGCTCCAAGGAGTATTGGTTTGTCCTGACAGCGGAGAACCTCTCCTGGTACAAGGATGATGAGGTGAGTAGCACAACTTGAATCTTGTGCATTGATGAGCGTACAGCCTTCAGTTCACTGGGTGCTACGGCTGTATCTTCTCAGTACTGTCTGCAGCTTGTTCCTAAAAGGAACTTGTTTTGTCCTAAATTAATATGACTACTTAAACACCTGGGTACGTAAGTCCACAGGAGGTGTGGAGCTGAAGCTGCAGCTCAGATGCTTGCTTCTCCTGACTTGGAGTAATTACTTAACCTCTCCAGGATTCAGTTATTAAACCTGCAATGCAGGAATGTCTTTCTTTAATGTTTCTATATTGAACATGCCATTCATGCATTATGTGTAAAATTGTCTGAATAGTGAATGGTTAGAGTACTGCTGATCAAAAGTACAGTGATGTGTGGAATATCACTGATAGGAACATGCCAGAATCACTAATATTCAGGGTTTTCAAGCAACTTTACAATGTGCTCTGGTGTTTTTCTGCTTCAGTGGGAAATTATTTAAGCAGACAGAATTGTCTCAACTGAAATTATCATTGTTAGCAATGTGTTGCTCCCTGTGCAAAACAAAGGTAGATAATTGTCTTTTCTGATGACTTTGAAAAGAGAAAGAATAGCTGGATGGTTTGGTAAGAACATGATCAAAAGGGTTAGCCCCACTCAATGTGCTGGGGGGGTATGAAAAATGTCTGGTATGATTTACTCATGCATTCTGAGTTGATGGGGGTTTCTGATTGCAAATGAAGAACCTGGTCTGCCTCTTACTGTGGTTTGTGTCCCTTAGGTGTGCTGAGACACATAATAATGTGCCCGGAAGCTGCAGCTAGTCCTGGCTTCTTGTCTAGTTCCTATCAGTGGGCCTGTCTCATTCTCAGCAGGTGGAAATGATGACAAACCCAGTGATGAATCAGCCTCTAAATATCACTTTCTGCATAGAGACTGCTGCTGTGCTGCTATGGATGAGCAGGCAGTGATTTCCTAATTAAAGAACCAGGCACTGAAATGTCTTTCATTAAATCAGTGTGTCTCTGCTATAAGACCCCTGCCCTTGTATTCAGAGCTGCTTGGGGAGGCTTCACTTTCCTCTAGGTTTGCATATGCAGGTCGAGTGGTTATAAACATCAAGTAGTTTAATCAAAGCCAGCTGCCACATCTGCATTACAGACATGATCAGAACTCCCTGCTCTTCCCTGGGGAGTGGGAGGGAGGGAGGAAGGACTACAGTGGGGATGTATAAATTGTTGATAGATTCCAGTTGCTTGGGATGGGGATTAAACCTCCCTTCCCTCCTGAGGGAGGGCAGCCTTGGGGGTCAATAGCAACTGGAGGTCTGCACTGTTTCCCTTCTGCATAGCAAGAGGTAGAGCTGCCTAATGAAAACACTTTCCTGCCAGCCTCAGTCCCTTAAACACCGGAGGACCAGTGCTGATGAGGTCTGAGCTGCCTCTGAGAAAGGAGTCTTTGTCTTCAGTGGAGTGGGAGCAGGGGCGAAAGGGAAGCATGTTTTTACTTGCTTCCTCCCCAAGTTCAACTCCTTGATCACTGGCTGTTGTGAGGGAGAAAGGAAGCAACTTTCACCTGGACTCCATAGCTGTTTTAGGCTAAAAGTCAGTGCATTTGAAAGGCAGCTTGGAAAGCTTTGAGGATGGGGATTCCCATCCCAAACCTCAGTCCTGCACAGAGCTGGCTCCATCCCAAAGAGCTGTGTGCAGTGCACAGTCCTCTGTCAGCCAGGGTTATCTTTGCATGGCTGTCCCAGAACCTTTCCTTCTCCACCAATTCAGGAGGACCCATGTCCTCTACAGCTCCCGAAATGTTCCTGTGTGGTTTTTAAAGGCTGTACACCATGATCTTTCTTCACTTAAGCTCTGGGAGGAAGGGGGAGGCTTTGTCTGCTCCACCCTGCACTTCTGCGGGCTCTCTTGTCCCAGTTCCCCTGTGCTATGGCAGCTTTCCAGAGGGAATGAAGAGGGAGCTGAATCCATCTGGTGTGGATGGAAGTGCTGGTGGCAGAGCTGTGGGTGACGATGGAGGAAGGAACAGGGTGAGAGGTGTGTGGTGGGTGAAGGCTAGGCTGGCACCTCTAGAGCTGGGGGGATTGGGGGCACAGTCTCTCCCTGCCCTGTTTTGCAAGCCAGGACCCGGAGCCTGTGGAATGAAGACATCTGGACCCCATTAGTGAAATACCAGTCTTTCCGCAGTGCTGGCTTGTTTTTCTTCTGCCTCTGAAGAAAGGAACTGAAACTCAAAATGTCTTAAAGGGCCCAGCATTACATGTTAGCAGGGATATGTGGCTGTGGATGCTCTGGAGGGGCCTGAAGGAGTGTGCTCGGGAGAATGGGAGGGGAAGGAAAGAGCAGCAGACCAGGCGGGGGTGGAAAGTTGGCTCCCCACTCTGCCTTGCTGCCAAGAGCATGTGTGTGTGCTCCTGGGCTCTGTTTGTCTTCCTGTCTCCTTTCAATGAGTCAAACGCTGGCCCCATGGAGAGCGGCCCCACAGAAAGCTGGCCTCCCAAGACCTGGAGACCCTCCTGAGGTACCTGCACCTCCTGAACCCTGTGGGATCATGCTGCAGCCAGCAATGGGAAGGAGAGATGGGGAGGAGCCTGCTCTGGCTGCTGGCAATATAGAGTGAGATTTTCTTTGCTAAGAGAGGCCACAGTGTCCCCAGGGCTGGAGCAGCAGCACAACATGCAGGATAGCTGCTCAGCAAGCTCCACAGTGGACACAATACAAGAGGCTGATTTGAATAGTCCTTCTGCCTGAATCCCTCACGAAATTCACAGTGCCCACTTCTCTGCAGGGCTTTCCAGTCTGCTGGAAAAGAGGGTCTGTGAGCTGGGCTAGAGCTGCTGCTGACGGGGACCTTGTAGGCAAGATGCAATGAGCACTGTGCTGAGTGGTTCCTGTTAGTAAAGCTTACTACCTGCCGGAGGGGACCCCTGCATCGTCTGCTCTGCAAGGGTGACTGTATCTGTTGGAGTGACTGTGCTGGAGTGTTTGCACAGCCGGGTAGATGGATATAACTGCTGGTTCCTTTGGGAGTTTGTGTGAATGTACAATACAGATGGGACCTTCTGTCCTTCCTTACTCAGGTAAATCATGTACTAGAAGGCTGGGACTTGTAAGAACAGGTGACTACATGAGAAGGATATGGCCTTGTTTCCTTGTGTAAAAGTGTGTGTTGCATGCAGCGTCAGAGCATTTGAGTCCTGTGTGTGTGCAGAAGGGGTGGGCACAGGGTTTTAGGTACTTTCAGGTGCGTGGGGGGTGCTTCATATTCTTTATACATCATGTTAATTCCT